CAAAATACTATATCAATCGGTTTTACTTACTTAATATGGTATCGTTGAATATATTATTTTATTTTAATGATGATATATTGATATTATACCAACACACTATCGACTAAATTATGGTAGTACAGCTAATATAGTATTTCGCTAACTTGTTCGATGCAAATATTGATATGATTTCACAAGCCCTACGTCTGATTAGAAGGGTGAATGTGCTGGTATATGGTTCAAAGGAGAAATTTTAAGGTGTAGTTTCAAATTTTAAATCTATGTGTTAAAATTTTGTCCGAAAACATTATTAGTATACCGGAAAGTCATGTCGTAATAATTCAAGTTCTATAAAATTACTTTCACCCCCCTTAAAAAAATATGCCTTCTACGATACTCTAATAATTTGAGACCGACTCGAGCATATTGGAAGAGCAATAAAAGTTTTTTTTATAATCAGATCTGTAATTTTATTCAGGCCTCCTGGGCTCAAGGTCCAAATCGGTAGTAAAAAGACAGGTGGTCGAGAGACCCATGTCTCCCGAGAAGGCCAATTACACTTGGTGTGGGCCAACAAATGGGCCGCTCCATCACAGTCTCTCTTGGCAAAGTACCATTGGATTGAGCCCAACCGGGAAGCTTCTGTCTGTAACTCTTGGATGAGAGTTCCTGCTTCCACCCTCGTCACCTCCGCCTTCTGCAACGCGAGAAATGCATTTTGGCAATCAGTTTCGACGATGATTGAGGTCAATCCATACATCTCCACCTGTTGAAGTACAAATGCAATCGCTTTCAGCTCCGGAGGCCATCGATTTCTTTCCCTTCCAACTACTGCCATCACAAATTGTCCCTTCTCATCGCGAGCAACAACACCATATCCTGTTCCTTCATCTTTCAATACCGATTCGTCGACTTTGAGTTTAATCCACCCCGCTGGCGAAGGTTCCCAGATAAGTCTCTCTCTTTGCCGCTCCTCAGATTCTTTAGTATGATAGGAGTTGAACTCTTCCCAGAAATTTAGGGCTTTCCCCACAATTTCTTCTTCCTGTGTTTTCCTATTGTTGAATAAATGATTATTGCTCTCATTCCAAATTTCCCAGAGAATCATACCAAGCTGATCCAGTGTGTCACCATCCGTTCTCTCCATAACCTCGCAGAATCAGCTTCCAGTTGACTGATTAGGTTCGAGTTCAAACAGGGGTCTGAAGCTTGTGGGTCTCCAGATTCTGGTTGCCCACTGGCATTCTTTAAAATATGGTTCTGGATTTCTTCAAGATTACAGAATGGGTACTCAGTAGGGGTCTCCTATTTTCTCTTCTCTATGTTCTTCCTAGTGGGCTGGATGTTGTGGACTAGTTTCCATAGGAATATCTTTATCTTAGGGGGGGAATCACCAGCTTCCACGATCATTTCCAGTTCATAGGGCCGTAGATCTCTGTGTCTTCCTCTAGGGCTTCCAACTCTTCACCTTCTCCCATATCCTCTTCCTCAATCATATTTGGATTCTTAGCCAATTCTCTTTTAGAAGAGTTTATATGTTGTCTTAACAGTATATAATCCAGATTTTTCATATGCCCATACCTCAATGTCAGATGTTGGATGGCGGGGAATTGAAATGCTATCTATTCTTGCTCTGTCTATTGGGTTGAAAAAGCGCCACAATAGAGGTTTTTTCCATTCCTTTCTATCATGATCAATGAGGTCTGTTACTCTTACCAGTCCACCTGCTGCCGATGTAGTAGTAATTTTGAAGCTTGTGTCTTCAGCTTCTGCAACCCATTTTTTCCATATATTCACCCTTGTTCCATCCCTCACCCTCCATCTAATACCTTTCTTAACAAGCTGTTGAGCTGCCATAATACTTCTCCAAGTGTAGCTTGGATTTGTTCCCAATTTGGCATGTAGAACATCCAAATTTGGGTAGTACTTTGCCTTTAAGACCCTTGCTACCAGGGATTCTGGATTGAGCAATAGATTTCATATTTTTTTTCTAGCAATGCAAGATTGAAATCCATGAGGTCTTTAAAACCCATACCCCTTTTCTTATCTTCCCTAACACCTCTTGTGGAATTAGGAAGACAGATAGTGTAGGTGGCTAGTGCTTGTGCTACCGCTTTGATGAGGATTTCTTTGGCAACAATAGAAAGCCTGTGGCTTTTCCACAGTTTGATTTTCTTTCTGACCTTGTCAATTTAGGACTTCAAAAGAAGACTTTTTTGTCGTCCCATTGTAGTAGGGAGCCCTAGATACTTTGCATGTCCCGATACTTGTTTTACCCCAAGGATTGATGCTAGATTATCTCGCTGAACTGCTGTAACACTCGGGCTCAAACTTATCTATGATTTTTGCAAGTTCACCACTTGGTCTGAATCCATCTCATATATCTTCAAGATCTCTTTTAGAGTATTACATTCTTGAGTTGTAGCTATCACAAAGAAGATGCTATCGTCCGCGAACAAAACCTGAGACATTGATGCTTTTAAGCCATGAATCCTGCCTTCCCTAGCTGATTGAGTCATTATTGTCGAGAGGCTCTCAACACAAAATACGAATAAGTAGGGAGAGATGGGATCTACTTGTCTTAGTCCTCGTTCTGGTTGGAAAGTCTCTGTCTGGTGTCCATTAACTAGTATTAAATATGAAACTGTTGAGATACAGTTCATAACTAGTTTCACCCACTGATCAGCAAACCCCAACTTTAGCATGATGGCCTTTAGGAATCCCCATTCAACTTTGTCGTAGACTTTATATATGTCCAACTTTGCTACCATTAGGCCCTTCTTTTCCTTTGTCTTTTGTTTCATTGTGTGAAAAAGCTCAAACGCCACAAGGAAATTGCATGTGATGTACGCCTTCCTGGTACAAATACACTCTGGGGTTCATTTATAATGTGATTCAGTATGTGCTTCAATATATTGGCAATAACTTTAAACATGATCTTATAAATTACCTTGCATAGACTGATTGGCCTGAAATCTAAAGGAGTTTCTGGCTTCTTCTTTTTGGGAATCAGAGTTATTAGAATGTGATTAATCTGCTGGGGAAACTCACCACACTCTAAGTAAATCTTAATTTCTTCTTTAATAGTCGGACCAACCACACTCCAATTTTTTTGAAAGAAGCGAGTTGACATACCATCTGCACCAGGTGGCTTGTTTGGCCCCATCTGCTTTAGTGCTAGCCAGATTTCCTCATCTGTATAGGGCTTTAGAAGCTCTTGCTTCATCTCAGTCGTTACCTAGGAGTCACTACTTATAGTATCCTACTCTAGTTTGGTCTCTCTCCTGCCTTGAATAGAGTTAGCATATACTACCTCAAACAGTGAGAAACCTCCTGCTTTCCCACAAAGATTCTACCTGCCTCATTCTGCAACTTTCTGATCGTGTTTTTTCTTCTTCTTTCCGAGGCCTTGCAATGAAAATACCTTGTGTTGCAGTCGCCCTCTTTCAGCCAATCTGTTCGAGAACGTTGCTTCCACTTTATCTCCTCCTGTAGGATAATATCATTGAGTTCCTTTTCAAGAACTCTTCTTTCGATCTGAATCACCTTGGTTTTTTTTCAAGGGATTTCAAAGCTTTCTCAACACGTTTTCGCCTTTCTTTTAAGGAGCCGAAAGCTTATTGGCTCCAATTTCTAAGGCTATTTTCACAATTTTTTATTCGATCCATTATTCCAAGACTTGGATGTGCCAGCCACCCATCTTTTATTATTTTGCTACTATATTTATGCTTTTCCCAATATGGTTCATATCTTAAGCTCCATCCCCAAGTAATCTCTTCTTCCTCCAAATTCAGCTTTATCTGTATGGGTATATGATTAGAGCCACATCTCTCCAGGTGGTTTACTCTCATGTGAGGAAAGCAATCCATCCACTTTCTGTTTCCAACTGCCCTATCTAGGCGTTCCTCTGTATAGTCATCCCCTGATTATTATTCTCCCAAGTAAAGGTTCTACCATAGTATCCACAATCCTCCAATTCACAGATATCTAGAGCCTGTCTAAACATATCCATTTCCTTTACATAAGGGTCTTGACTCCCACTTTCCCCAAATAATCAGTTATGAGACTGAAATATCCCATAACTAGACATGAAAACTAGACCTGATTATGTAAACTAATCAACAGCTCACATGTTTTATGTTTATTCTTTCCTTCGGGCCATCCATATAAACATGTTAGGCGCTAGTATTTGTCCAAGGATGGCATCCTTATCCTAACATCAATGAAATTTGAGGTTGCATTCTTAACCTCAATCTGAATATCTTCTTTCCACATCATCAGAAGCCCTCACCCTCTGTTTTCCCCTGCATCTACCCCTCATCCATCAAAATAACCAAATTCCTTAATTTTCGTCACCTTTTCAACTATCGGGGTGTTCCCAAGTCCCCGAAAGTTGTAACTCAATAGACTCATTGAGCTGGGTGGCCTTGCATGAGTGCAAGGTGCGCCTCTTCGCCATCCATGTTCTGTGATTGCTTCAACTTCTCTGCTGCCCCATGTTGTAGTGCTACTCTTATCTTTTGCATTCCTTAAACTGCCTCACGACTCCCTCTTTTGTAACTGCATTGGGTCTTGAATTTCCAAGTGGAAGGTCTTCTGTGTGATCCTCCTAGTTTTGTTGATTGGTTTTATGTACCTCAACATTTCCTTCCTTTGTCAGCTTCTTAACGTCCTTGTCTGTCTCCATTGGTACATTCTCTTTGTTATCCTTTTGTGGATTGGGTTCAATATCCATCTGTTTGTCTTCCTTGCTCGGTGGTCCTTCTTTACCCGAGTTATAACCCGTGCTCTCCATGTCGAATTTTCTTCTGAGTTGTTTCTAGATGCCAACTTCTTCTTTCCTGGATCTGTGGGACAGCCAGGTCCTCGGTGCTAGAGGGGTTGTTCTTATGTCAAAGCCATATGGATCCACATGTAGTTGTGAAGGCTGTGGACATGTGAGCTTCACATGTCCTATTCTACCACACGAATGGCAGAAGAGTGGTAGTTTTTCATACTTCAACATAAACTCCTGTAATTCCCCTCATATGTTGAGTTTAATCTTCTTCTTCAAAGGGTTATTGATGGAGATACTTACCCTAATGCGCAAAAAGTCATCCCACATCTTCTCAGAGCTGTCATCGAACCACACTAGTTCTCCAATTCTGTTTGCTATTTTTTTGCCATAGACTATGTTCTTAATTCCGCTTGAAAGTCATTAACTTGTATCCATATTTCCATCTTGTGCAGGTATGCTAGGATTGGCTTCTTAATCCACCAACTCGCCATGAAAAGCATAACATGATTCTCGTAATGCCAAGGTCCGCCATAACAGACTTTGCTGCAGTCATCCATCTCTAGGAATTGGAAAGCAAACAGGTTGTTCCCAAGCTCTGTGCTTTGGTAGCCCTTTTTCAGTCCCCACGCTTTTGTTAGGGCAAACTTCATTGACTGAATATTTGGTTCCTTATCTGACATAAGCCTACCAACTAGACCAAGATATCGGACTGCCTCCATCCTCACTATATCACCATCAGCATCTTCAACTTCTAGGGGTTCATCGTCCTCCTCCGCTAGGTTGATTTGGTTAAGTCTAGCCTCTAAGCCATCCGTCAAGAGTGTTGCATCCCGTGCAGCTTCCTTCATAGCTGCCAATGCTTCCTTATTGTTTGTAGATGCCATTGTAGTTATCCTTGGATTGATCTCTTTCACTGTGTGACTTGAGTAATACGCCTCAAGATTCTCAACTTAAGCTAGGTTTAAGTCTTGATCTCTCCGCCGACTCAACTCTGTATCGCACTAACGAAAACAACTCAAGCTATAAAGGTGTTACTTGTAGGTTAATGTTGTGACCTTCCCGTGATAGACTTCTTTACCTTGGATTGAACGTCGTGCATCAACCGGAAAACCTAGGGTTTCCGCCGCTAGAGCACCCTCTCGCTTAACGAGAGAAAAATAATTCGCAATAAAAATTTATTATTACAACACCTGACATGACAAAAGTATATCAATTAAACAGGAAAATATCCAAAACTACAACCGTTTAAATTTTTTTACAAATATACCACTCAAACCGAAAAAATTCTAAATCTACCACCATTATTAGAAAACCGCCACACAAAAAGGCGGTTTGCATATAAACCACCAGGTCAGGTTGCGGTTTGTGTACGAACTGCGTTTGGAAGAGGCTTTTTATTTTTTTGAATAAAACGCACCCTGGAAAGGCGGTTGGTTCATTGGTTACTTTTCAGCAAACCGCCTCTTGAAGGAGCAGTTATACGTCGACAACTAAAACCGCTCCTTCAGAATGTAGTTTTTATTGTCGACACACAAACCACCCCCTCCCCCAGCAACTTGTGTGTCATCTCCATTCTCCGACATCTGAAATGTGCATGCATGCAGGGATGCAGTCAACGTGTGGTTGCATGGCAGACCAAAATCGCCCTCTCCCCCAACGGTTTGTACTCAAAATTTTGCCTATAAAAGGCAGCTCCGAGAACATCAGCTCCTCACTCCTCTCATTATTCTTCTTCAATTTTATGTTGTGCACCTTATTTTTTTGTATTTTTGCGATTAACGTTAGTTCGTAAGTTTGTTTTTATTACTTTTTATTATGATTTGTGATTTTGATGGTATTAATTTAATTTAGTTACAATTTTATTGCAGATGACATTTCAAAAGTTCACGCTTGGGTTACGGTGGATTGGTTCTACGGAAGAGACCGGAAAGGAGGTACGTTACGTCGGTGGTAATTTTCATAAAGTGAAGGCCGCTACGATACCGAACCTTGAAGAGCTCCGTGAAATGTGTACTGAGGTTACTTGCATGGATGACACAAAAAGAGTTGATCGTATGATGTATCGATATCCAAACAGACATGGCGGGTCATTGTGGTATGAGGAATTTCACGTAACCAATCAGGAGGATGTTGATGCCATGGTCAAATTTTTTATCGCCAATAACATTAAACAAGCAGAGACGTTCGTTTACACCGATGCGATCGAGAGCGGTGGAGGTCATTCTGGAGATGGCCAAACATCTGATATCCACGGTGGAGGTGGATTACATGAAGATCATCCCTACCAAGGTTACCATGATCCTCGTACCTATCATGAGTACTAAGAAGGAGGTGGAGGTCATCATCAATCCTTCCCATCATATGAAGAAGAATCCCAAAGGTACCATGACAACCAACAAGAAGGCTACCAGTACCAACCCGACTACAACTTCAACCAACAAGAATGCTACCAGTACCAAACCGAGTACAACTTCCACCAAGGTAGCGGTAGTTATCACAATTACCATTACAGAGATATTGAAGGTGCCTCTCATAATCTATATCAGTTGGAAGATGTCCTGCCATGTCTAGTTAGTGACCCTGAGGATGTGGAGGAGGAATGTGATGTCAGTGCAGAGAGCTTCGGCCCTCTTGAAGGCGCTGATGATTTAGGCCCAGATTCAGATGCAGATGATAATGATGTGCCCTCGCAATTGTGTACCTATCCCATACTACAATCACATTCCAAATGAAAATTGGTATGTTGATGCCGACGTGGAGCTGCCAGAGGTGCCAGTATACTGGGTTTACGAAGGGCCAACAATTCGGTACGAAAAATGAGGTGAGGCACACTATTGCCACAGAAGCAATGACTCGGAGTTTCGAATGACACACTACACATTCCGACTTGAGGAGGCTCATAGTTAGATGCATGAATCAACATGAGGGATGCAAGGTTAGGGCCATCAAGAGCAAGAGAGTTGACCATTGGGTCATATCCCATGTGGTGAACACTCACACATGTGGGTCATCCATAACATCCCAAGGCCATCGACAGTTGAAATCCAGAGTGGTTGCCGCGACTATCAAGCATCTAATTGAGGAACTGCCCGACCTGAAGGTGAAAGCCATCATCGGTGATATTTCTAGTCGTTATGGATATATTATTAGCTATAAAAAGGCGTGGCATGAAAAGCAGAAAGCAATGTCTGTCGTGTTTGGTGACCGGGAAGAATCATATGCATTCCTCCATAGATTGAGTTTGGCATTGGAGGCGTCTAACCCTGACACTGTTTCTCCCCCCGCTACCAAGATGAAGAAATTCAGCCGACGGATCCCGGTAACAAACACTACTCATTGCTAGTGAAGCAGATGCAAACATAGGTGTCTTTCCTCTAGCCTTTGCCATTGTTGTGGGAGAAAATACTGAAAGCCATGGATGGATAGAGAGCTAAATTCAGAGAGAGAGAAGAATGAGTTTTGGTGTGAAGAAATGAGGAGGAGGGGGTATTTATAGTGTGTAGACCACCTGGACGAGGGGCGATTTTGTCAATTTACACCTAAGAAAAACTGCCCCCAGCCCACAATTTCAGTTTTCCAAAGCGCAAACCGCGCGTTGGAGAGGCGGTTACCGCGACGAGATGCCGACCGTTGAGCTGGCACGCGGTCTACCGTCGGATCACCCTCTCATCCTACGGTTTGCAGGACCGCCACGTGCTGTTGCTGTTTGTTCGATGCCCGAAGCCAAAGCGCACCTTCAACGCACGGTTCTCCTTTGAATCGCTGCTTTCCCATGCAGTTTTGGTTAAAAAGTGGTAGATTTGGATTTTTTTCGGTTTGGTTGGTATGTTTGTAATTTTTTTAACGGTGATAGTTTTGTATTTTTTTTTCCAATTAAACATGAGTGAGCAATACAAAATTACAACATAGATCCACACAACCTACAAATTTGAAAAATACTCTCGTTTTTTAACCACAAAAATCATCTGTACTGTTCCTATGAATTCATTGACTATTATGAATTTTGTTAACTCAACTAACTAAAAATATAATTTATCTCCAAAAGAAATAAAAATACAAAGTTATTTAATATTGTGCAGTTGAAGTGGGAAATAAATTATTTTCCATGGAGTTGGTGAGCCAGCCAGCCACTCACTAAAACATTAAAGAAAATATTCAAAAGCTGTTGAAAAAATATGCCGTAGGAAGGCACTTGCATGTCTTCTTCTTCCGCGCTCGATTAAAGGAGAACAGAAGAGTTTCGACCGGCGATTTCTACTCTCCGTCAGATTCTGGTTGTTTCCAGGAGAGCCAATTCCATCGCCACAGCTACGGGTTTCGTTCAGCGACATACGCAGAAGTGAAGTCACTCTTTCTATCGCAGCGCTCTTCGCCCCCCGCTTTTTGATCGATCGTCATGTCTTTTTCCTTCTTCAAGCCGTCGCGGCCCAAGACGCCGCAGGAGGTGGTGAGAGCGATCAAGGATAGCCTTAACGCCCTCGATACCAAAACGGTCGTCGATGTTAAAGCCCTCGAAAAGGTAAATCGATCCTATGCTCAATTTCCTCTCAATTTTGAGCTCTTCTGGAATTTCGCCTATTTCATGCCATTCTCAGGTTTCCTTTTAGCTCGAGTTCGATTGATGTGGCGAATGACGATTTGGGCGCTTTTTGGCTGCCAATTTCTGTGAAATTTTGAACTTGATTCATGAGGTTTTTGTACTTGTTAGTGTAGTGGTATAAGATCCACGATTGAACCTCTCCCAACAACTCGAGTTATTGGGAGCAACTGGTTCTTGACATGGTATCAGAGCCTTCTGTGACCGAGAGGTCTTGTGTTCGATTCCCGGTGACCCCATTTGTTAAGCACATGGTATTCTTGTGTTCGATTCCCAGTGATGATGTAGGTGCTGGCTAAGTGTTGTTATAGTAATTGATATTGCTGATGGAGAGTTTTGAGAGAAAGGGAATTCTGCATAAGGACATGTTAGTGTGGTTGGTTTCAGAATTTGGAGGCTCTTGCGGGAATCTAAACTGTGTGGGAAAGAGGGAAGGGGCGGTGGTATAAGAGTGTGCTGGTGGGCATTCTGGGACTTTAGAGAGAAATTCGGTTGAGATATCTTGTTGATGATCCGGTATTTCTCGGATTAGTAGTTGTGCATTCATTTCGGATGTCTTTTGACATATGACAGGCATCAGAAGAAGTTGAGAAGAATTTTGTGACTCTGAAATATATGCTCCAGGGAGATGGAGAGGTTGAACCAAACATGGAACAAGTTTCACAGCTAGTCATTGAGATTTGCAAGGAGGATGTGCTTACACTTATGGTTCACGAGTTACTCAATTTAGGATGGGCTGTAAGTATAGACATCCATGGTGGTTTCTTGTTCTGGCTTGCATTCGTCATATTGATTTCTTGTTGATTCTCACTTTGCTTTGACATAGGCAAGAAAGGATTTAGTCCACTGTTGGTCAATATTGTTGAAGCACAAGGTTGAGTCGACACATTGCTGCGTAGAATATATTGAGAATCATTTGGAGTTACTAGATTTTCTTGTTGTAAGGTAAGATTGTGCATCTCTTTCCATCTTGATATTGTCTTTCAGATTCATGATGGGGGTTATAAAATGAACAGATGTTGGAAAATGGTATGCAACAAATTGAAAAAGAGAGTGGTTTGCTACCAATGTGATAATATTTCCACCTGGGTTAGAAGTTTATAATGAATGTTGGCAGTGAATGAGATTAAAATGCACAAGGATCTGTGCTTTAGTTGTCTAGGCATCTGTATTACCTGCTGAATGATGTGTTCGGCTACTTAATACCAGTACTGTGGGGTACTTATCATAGCCTCTCATTGTTGCTCAAGATCTTTAATTTGAGGTACTTATCAAACCCAGTGTTAGCACACGGAACTTATTCTCTTCTCTTTTCATCAGCTATGATAGCAAAGACATTGCCTTGAATTGTGGACAAATGTTAAGGGAATGCATCAAATTTCCAACGCTGGCAAAGTAAGACATCCAAACTCTTTTTCTTTTGCAGCTTTTGCTAATCCTAGTATTGTTATCAGAAGCAGCTGTATTTATTTTGGTGTGTAATGCTGTTTCAGAAACTTGCTATAGGAACTGTAGCAATGTAACTGTATCGTTGGAAAAAATATATATCACGGTTTTGGTTATGAGATGTTAAGGTTAGCTTCATCAGTACACTAGGTACATCCTTTGTGATTGGCTACAAGTAAGGAGAGTTGTACTCTAGCCCATTTGCTAAATTTTGGAGAAAAATTATTAATCCCCAATGGCTCTATATATGAGTTCTGAATATTAGACCTTTTACATTAATATGAGAAGGTTGTAGAAAATAAAATAAACTTAGTGGAATATATTGAAAGATATTTACTTGAGAGTAGAAATAATGAAAGTCTTTTACAAATTTTTCATGATTGAAAATGGAAAACATGTCATAGTTGTTGACACAAAATAAAACCTGTATCAATTGGTTATTTTTCCCATTATTGAATTACTGCATTATTAATTTTTAGAAAATATATGTTTTAAAATTTATTTATATATGCATATAAAAGGACACACCTAATTTGATTTTCTGGCTCCCCCACTGGTTGTACGTAAGTTACTGCTTGTCAATATCCTTGCATGCGTAGCAGCACAACACATATTGTACCGGACAGATATAATTGTAACATCTGGATGTTACTTGAAAAACAAAGCCTGTTGCTCTATCTTTGCTTTTCGTTGCAGTCAAGTTTCATGTTTTCACACTGTCAAACTTTTGTAGTGGTCTTTCAGATACATATTAGATTCAGCCTGCTTTGAGTTGTTCTTCAAATTTGTGGAGTTGCCTAACTTTGACGTTGCTTCTGATGCCTTCTCTACTTTCAAGGTCAGTCCAAAGTTTCCAAATGTATTTTGCTCATTCACCGGTTCATTTTCTGAGTTTCAGTTATACCAACTCGACATTTGTTTCAATGGTTTATCAGGATTTGCTAAGCAAACATGATACCATAGTTGCAGAATATCTTACTGCGCACTATTCTGAGGTATATTTCCTCAGTCTTTAGATCTGATTATCGTTTCCTTTTACAAGAGATTCTTGACCTGATCATGATGTAGCTACATGTTTGCACAAACATAGAGTAAAAGATGATTTGTATGCTTATGTTGGACAGACCTTTGTGACTTAGGGACACTTCCTTGCTAATGTGGTACTCAGCATACTACTGTACCTGGGAGAATGGATACATATACATGTTTGAGCATGTTCAAATGCATGATATTTACCTAGACAAACATAAGCAAATGCTACTGCTTGTATACCCACCTGGTGCCACCATGTTAATATTGTTTTTTGGCATTTTTGCTGACGTCTTGCATCTTCGTTTGCCATATAAAAATGCGACGAAAATTCATCTCTCTCTTAAAAGTAACACTTGTACTTTTTCATTGCCTGTCTAAGAAAGGTAAATTTGTTTTTGTTTCTGTTGTTACAGTTCTTTGATCTGTATGATAAACTTCTCACATCCCCTAATTATGTGACAAGAAGGCAATCAGTGAAGGTTAGTCTCCAAACTTAGTAGTAAACATATACGTGGCTAATTTTTTTTGCGTTTAAGCTAATTGTTTATCTTTTGTGGATTTAGCTTCTCTCTGAGTTCCTTTTTGAGCCTCCAAATTCCAGCATAATGAAGCGCTTTATTCTGGAAGTTCACTACTTGAAAGTGATGATGACATTGCTTAAGGTATTGCATGCTAGTCCTTTCTAGAATATGATTCCAGGTCTATTTCTCCTCCATATTAGAAAGGCAATTGAATGTCTTAGGTTAGTGCTCAGTTATTCAGAGATTATGTTAGAAACTGAACCCACCTGATCCTTTAATAAGTCAAATTTCGCAAGCTCATTAGAGCCTGGATAGAAATAGAAGTGCAGGCCGTTCAAGGAAACGGTCGTACTTTAATCTCAACTCAAGGAAACTAGAGTCCAATTTGTCAGAAGACCATTCAGGAAAACTATGAGATGCTTTAATCTCAATCTCTCTTGATTACCTTAATCGATTGGGTCAAAGGAACTGGCTTTGTGTAATGAGTAGGGTTTTGGCTCGACTTTTGGTTTTGACATATCGGCTTCGGTTCTCTTGGTATGGTTTCCATCATTTTGTTTGTAATTACTTGTCCTTGTCTGAGCAATACGTGCTCCGCAGATGATGGGACCCCATGCACCATTCATCTTATCTTCCAAGTAGCATACAGAAACGGTACCCTGTCAAGGGAACATTTCACTGTGATGTCTTAGTAGCTTGAGAAACCACTTGTGATTCTAGTGCTGTGCTTGCATATCCTTTGGGTGTGGAGAGTTTGATTGATCTACTTTTACTGGATATTAGTAGATTTGCGCAATGAGTGTTATTCCGAGTAAGCCTGGACTCCGTTTTCCCTCCTTTCTTAAACTTCTATAAGCGAGGCAAGCTTTCCATCCTTGAGGTTATGTTTTGTTTCTCACTCCTTGCTCTGCAAATCCTACCTGGTGGAGACTCTTGGCAGCTAGTGATGTGAAAATGTTTGTGCTGACTAGCTTAGAGTGTTGGAAGTTTATGTCGAATGCACCTACATAAACTGGGTTATGTCGGTATATATATTAGGCCAGTCTAGCTTTTTTCTTTCTTTAAGTGCTTTTTTTAATCTGTTTCTATTATGTAATGTCTGGACAGGACTCGAGTAAAACCATACAGATCTATGCTTTTCACATTTTCAAGGTACAGATTCTCTTCTCTTTTCCCCATAATTTACAACTCCCCCGCTTTCACAATCCTGATTCTTAACCTCCATCCGAAGTAGTATGATTCCTAATTCCTCTTGCTGTGTTATAAGTAGGTCTTTGTTGCTAACCCAAACAAGCCACAAGAAGTGAAAATGATCTTGGCCAGAAATCATGAAAAGTTGGTGGAATTGCTCATAGACCTCTCAGTTGGGAAAGGTAAAATCCTGCTTAAATCTCTGCAAATCCCGTTTCGTCCCTTCTTGGTCGAGTTTAGTAAAAAAATCTCTTGGGGGTACCGCAACAGGTTCAGAGGACGAGCAATTCGAAGAGGAAAAGGAAATGATCATCAAGGAAATCGTAAGACTGTCTCGCGTGCCTAATCTTCTTAACGGATAGGGCTGCTTATTTGTTTCAGCGGTCATTGCCCTGGATTTAGTATTATTATCAGTACTACATGAAGATTCCCTGCAACTTTCAGTGTTTTGTTCGACAAAAGAGAGTTGTTTCTGTGTTTGAGGTTTTGGAGAGAGCCATGCCCATCTGCAATTCTGCACTCTTTCTTCCCTTTGCCAAGTAAATAGCTTTTTTAAGTATAGAAGGAGAAAAGAAAATGCCATCTTGATTCTTTTACTGCCTCCCGCCCTATGTTTGTAAGCATGTCTGCTGTATTAAAAGCGAGAAGCTACTATCTTTACCTTTTCAATCTAAACGTTGTGACAACTATCAACTATCTATGAATTATCCCCTGCTGTATTTGTCTATCGATTCAGGCCGTGTCTTGCAAATTACACTTTCAAATACTCGAGTTGCATGCCTCGTTAAACTTAAAGGAGGCTCTAGCAACGAGAGATAACTTGATCCAAACACGGATAACTAGGGGTGGCTATATGGTCCGGTTAAATTGACACGAATTGATCCGGTCTTGGTTCGGTGTTTTCGAGAATATAAGAACCAAAGATTGGATTGGATTGGATTCAATTCAGTCTTAATCCGGTCTGATCTTGAATCGGTCCGGTCTCAATTCAGTCTTATTTTATATTGAGCTTGTGGGGATTTGAGTGGCCTAACGCCTAAGGCCTAAAAGGGTAATGAGTTGGTTAGATTTTGGTTGTTGGCTCTCTTATCCAATTTTTGGTCCGGTCCCGAACGATTTTTACCTCAAATCTAAGCCCTAAGGTGGGATTGGATTGTTTGATATCCGATCCTGTTTCGGTCTCGGTCCGGATTATATGATTCGGTTTCGAATAAAACTAAAAAGTCCTGACCAAATAGCTAGCCCTACCGATACCCATTATTCAAAAGCTCCCATACCTGTTGACGAGTATGGGTGCTGCACCGAAAAGAGCTGCCATCGATTCCTCGTTCGACGAATGTTGCCATTATCAATCTCAGTCGGATAAGATCGCACTCATTCTTCGGAACACTTGGTTGCACTGGCGGAGCTAGGTGAGGGGTTGTGGGGTCCGTGGACCCCACTTGAAAAATAAATATATATTAAAAATGGTGAATTTTTAAGATGGGGTTAGTAAATTTAGAACCACAAACCCTCTCTTTTCGAGACAATGATTTTCCTATCGAGTTAACTTCGTATTTGATTATGTTTGGACCCCATTAAATTATATCTATGGCTACACCAATACTTGGTTGCTCATGTCAAATGAATCAACACAATAAAGACGGCTTGTCATCGGATGGCAGCATCCAATGCAACTTCATCTTGTCTAAATAAGAAAAGCAATACATGAAATTCAACCTAAGCAACTTATCATTCCTATTGGAATTTTTTTTTTGGATGTAACCATTTTGTGCCAACTTCTAAAGTTGTCCTTTCATTTTGTGAAAGATAAAAGTTAGCTGACCATTTTGTAAATATCAAAAGTAATATAGCCATTTTGGATAATTAGCTCTTTACGTTACTTCACCGCCGCCAAATAATCCTAAAATCCCTACGTTAATCCGTTTATCTTCTCATCCCTTCTCTCTCATCCTTTGCTTCTCTTTCCCTTTCCCCCTCGTCCCAAATTCACACGATGAATTTCTTCCGAACCGTCTTCTCCGACGACCTAACGCCGCCGGTCTCCCCAACGTCGGCTTCCGAACCTGAAACTGCAGCGTCCGATTCCAACTCGGATCCGGAATCCAATCCGCCGCCCCCAACCACCACCACCGCCAATCTCGATCCATGGACCTTCGGCCTCATGATCCGAAAGCTAGCCACCAAATCCGAGTCCGTCATCGAGACCTACCGGCGCGATCTGGAGGAGCTCGGATCGGGGTTGAAGAAAGAAACCGCCGCGATCCGAGACGTCGCCTCTCGCGCCGTCAAGGACCTCCCGGCTTCCCTGGAAGCCAGCGCCTCCGCCGCCCAGGAATCGCTCGAGACCGTCGGGCAGGCGATCGACGACATCGGTGCCACAGTGTGGAATTCCACGGCCCAGATCATCTCCCACGGTAGAGATCTCTCTAACGCTTCTTCCCCTGATTATTACGATCATGATTCCGATTCTTCTAATAACGGCGGCGGGAGGCGGGGATCGTCTCTGCCGCTGAAACCCTACAGTAGATACGATGCGCAATTGCTTGCTATGCAGAGCAACTTGAATACTTACTGTAGAGAACCGGAGGATAAGGAGGGGTATGATGGTTGGAGATTAGGGTTGCGGAGCTCCGTTGCGGAGGAGAAAAGGGACGAGATTGAGAAACTTCTGACTGAGAATGAAGTTGTTAGGGAGATTTATGATGAGGTTATGCCTAGTAAGGTGAACATTGAGACGTTCTGGAGCAGGTATTTCTACAGAGCGCAAAAGCTGAAGGAAGCAGAGGAGGCTAGAGCTAAGATTGTTAAGCGGGTGATATCTGTGGAAGAAGAGGATTTAAGTTGGGATTTCGACGATGATGTAGAAGATAATGATACTGCTGCTGATATTGATGATCAGAGAAAGGGCTCTCAGCTGAATGATGGAGGTGGTACTGATGTAGAGCAAACAGAGAACTTTCAGAAAGGTGGGAATGAAGATGTTAGTGAAGGGACTAAGTTTGGGGGTGGATTTGGGGACGATCAATACAGCGATACGAAGGTGGAGAAGGCGGATGGCAATAATGGCGGTGGTGGAGAGTCCTGCAAGGACAGTGATGTTTCAGTTGTGTCGAGCCAGCAGTCTTTGGTGCCGGAGGTTGAGGATTTGGGTTGGGATGAGATTGAAGATATTGGAAGCAATGATGAGAAGGCTGCAGGGGCCGGGAATGCAGCAGCCACAAGTCGAGTTGATTTGAGGAAGCGGTTGGGTTCTGCCGATGAAGAGGAGGATCTGAGCTGGGATATTGAAGATGAAGATGAGGAATCTGTCAAGCATTGATTGGCTGGAGCCGAATATGGTTAGTTAGTTCCTCTAGTTCTTACTTGCTTAACCAGCAATGAACTTTCCAGTAGCCCCAGGACCAGGAATAGTTGCATGTAAGGTGATGGTTGATTCATTCATTGCTGGAAGTGCTTTGAAATGTAAATACATCTTCCATTGTTTCCTTTTATAATTATAGCACATTGGTAGAATTGAAGTTATCCAAACTAATGTTGCTTGCGAGGTTTGAAGTAAAATAAATATATAAATAGTTGTGATTCTCATAAATTTATACATAGTTATGAATTACTATTTTCGTCATTAGACAGAAAAGTGCAATAGCTCCTACATTTAAATAGTTATAGAGGAGTTGCTGAGCTACTGTCTACAGGTGACCATTAATTTGTTGAATTTGCCACTTTTGGTTTGTAGTAGTACGGTGGAAATTATTTTTGGTGTGTATGCTTTGCTTGTGGTTTGGATTACAGGATGAGGCTAAGCTAAAGCTAAAGCTTGCATTGTGTAAATACTGACAATTTTGTATAACATATATGGTTGGATTTATGGTGGCAAATTAGATGGAAGTAAATTTGTTTGGTCACAAATGATATGGGGTTTTTTAGATGCATGGGTGATTGTTGATTTTGGTTAACTGGTGAATAGATTTTAAAATAGTTTTATGTTAACTTTGAAGTGATGTTTGGAGGATCGATTTGAAGGGTGGTTTGAATGGTGGATTACTGAAATGAGTTAAGTTAATTTAACTCAATTGTCTCAAAAGTTGTGTCATCTTAGAAAAATGGGTTAATTACAAGGTTGGTCACTAGGAATACTAGAAACGTTATTGTTGATGCCAAGCTTAGAGCAGCCTGTTTCAATATGTTTAAGGTCCGGAGAGCGCTGATTTCCCAAAGCCTTTAACCACCTCCAGCTCCGTGCGAATACCTGAAAAAAAGGTCCCACCGGGGGGGTCCTGGTTGGAACCTCCTCCGACGCTCAAATTAGTAACCTGAATGGAATAAAATAAATACGGTGACGTTAGACCTGGTTCGGTCCCACGGTCGTAATTGAGCGTCGTCGGCTATTTAATGCCGCCCGGTGGAGACTATCCACGATCCCATGGCTTAGTCCGCCAAATTGAGGGTGTGTTGAGTGTTAAGAGATTTAACACGCTTTTGGGAGATCGGGAGGAGAGAGAAAACGTTTTTAGAGAGAGAAAGTAGAGAGAGTGTATATGGTGTGTGAGTTGTGTCGTGTGAATTAGTCGTAAGGGACTTATGTGGTGTGTGTGTGTTGTTGTAGTTTTGAAAGGGGGAGGGGTGCTCCCTATTTATAGAAAAAAGTCGTAGTTAAATTCCTCGACTTACGTTAACATTCACCAACATTCTCCATTAATCTCCTATACTCGTTAATATTCTCCGTAATACCTTAACATTCTCCGTCATACACTAATATTCCTTATCTAGTATAGTATTTGAGAAAGTGTAAGGGTGTATGTGAAAGTAGAAGAAGTATAAATATATAGTGGAAATTGAAGGAAAGAGTAGGGATGGAAATTGTACGTATATGTATGCATGAACATGCATGATAAAGGAAAGTGTAGGAAATGGTAGGGAGAAGAAGGAAGTTTACGTGGGAGTGTGGAAAGAAATAGTAAGGGAGGGAGATGAGGTGGCATCTGCCACTTGTGGGAGAAAGGGAAGGAAAGAGGGAGAAAGTGAAGGAAGAATGAACAAATAAGAAGTTTAGGAAGAAATTAAAAAAGTGAGTAAAGGAAAAAACAAATACAGTAGTTAAAGGAAAAAAACAATGAAGGATTCTGATGGTATAATACAAATTTTTGGGTATTTCGGGTACCGCAATGATGAACAATTTATCGAGTATATTAATGAAAGGACAGGTGTTTAATATTTTAAAATTTTATCGGTTAAGAACTGGGTCTATCAATTGCCCCCCTTACCGATAGAAAAATTCGGAGTTCGTCCGGACATTTTCTGACGGTAAGTCGGTATTAGACCCAGTCTCAAACGCTGTTCCTATAAATACCAGAGCGGAGGGAACATAATCCATTCTCCATTTCCCAGCCTCATGCTCTCGTACTTCTCCTCCCATCTTTTCATTTCTCACAAAGCAAAAGCAGTTCACTACCCACAGCAAACTCTTGTTTCACTATCCCTAAAGTAAATTCTCATTTTACCTTTAGTAAAAATGGCGAGTTTACCTTCATCATTACGAGATAATCAACATTTAATGATTATACCGCCTTCCACTGTTGTGGTGGCAAGAGGATCGGATGCCAGTGGGTCTCGAAATATAGCACCTAACCCACTGGGTTTTAATGTCTGCCCTTGGGAGGTGATGTATCCTCTTGGTCGAGTGCCTCCGGAGTACCCAGTAGGTGGCCTGGGACGTGGTTTTACACAAAGTGAAAAAAGGTTACGAGAACTGTTGGTTTCGTATGGTATGCCTCATCACTGGAGTTATGCCATACCCAACAGACTTGTTTCGGCTGTAAGTCACCCATCATCATGGCGATCGCTTTTTCGTTCTTCTCTGGAGTATGGGTTTCGATTGCCCCTGCCTACATGGTTGTGTGTTGTAATGCACCGTAGTAAGCTTTCAATCGATTCTGTTAGTCCTCGTTTTTGGACTTTCATCGCTTGTTTTATTCTGTCATGTCGTCGAGTTGGGGTTCCACCATCCCTCGAGTTGTTTTATGCTTGTTTTTTCTTTCGTCATGATCGAGTGGCTTGGGAGCTACACAAACGGAAGTCAGCCAATAACCTTTGCACTTCGCTGAGCCATCTGAAGGGGTCGTGGGAGACGGAATTTTTTTATTTTCTTGCCCCGCCTAGTGAGTTTACCTCCGGAGGTATCACGGTCCCAGCTGACTGGAGTGAAGGTGTTACAGGTGGATTTCAGGATCCCGTGATTGAGGGAGAAATGCTTTACAGCATGATCGGCTTCTCCGGGAGAGACCCATTGATATAAGTACTCCTGGGGCTCGAGCAAGCTTGTTTCTTGCTGTTTATGGTAAAGGTATGTCATTTTTTACAGTACTTCCCTTTTTGTGACCGTATTTCTAACTATAATCCTTCCTTGCAGATTACTCGCACTTTCAGAGGTGTATGAGGAATAGAGAAGTGCCAGCAGTGCCTCACTCGTATGTCGGGGTGCCAATTCGTGAGAGACCAGATAATCCCTCGCGTGGACGGTCGAGAGTTCGTCATGACCAGTTGAAGAGAACTCGTTCCTGGGTGAGAGGATCAGGAGATTCCCCTACTGGGAAGGGTCGCTCTGAGGGGAGAGCCAGAGATGCTAAAGGAAAAACCCCAGTGGGCGGTAGGGGAACCCTGAAGCATCAGGGGGAGTCTTCAAGAGCCAACAAAGGTGGAATTTTGGCTGGTGGTGTCATAACGTATGACAGTTTGTGCGATGCGGGGAAACACTATCCCGTTTTGGAAGATGTAGCCACAGGATCAACTTTTGCTTCTTCTGTTTCAAAGGTGCTTTTACGTTCTTCCTTTGTTTTTTCGTTCTTCAATTTGTATATGATACATTGACGTTGTTATTTTGCGAATAGCTGGCAAGGTACGCTGTTGCCATGGAGTGTCGCCTAGCTATGGCAGAGCTTCGGGTTACTGAGGCTCGAGAGGAGGCAACTCGTTCTTTGGAAGAAATGAGAATCCAAATGAAGACAAGAGAGGAGCAATTTTCTTCCAAATCTTGTGAATGGAATGCAGACATGGTGGAGGCTCAACAACGTGTTGAGGTAGCCACACAGGAGCTGCGTACCTCAGAAGCAGCCGAGGCTGGCCTTCGCGAAAAAGTTGAGCAGCTTCACGCCAGTATGCGTGAGGAGAGGCTAATCAGGAGGTCTTTACGGTCGGAGAATACTGGTTTACACTCAGAAAACACCACCCTTCGATCAGAGAATAATACTCTACGTCATCAGTTACAGATGGCGGTTTCGGGAGTGATGGAAAATATCCATTGCCTGGCCAGAAGGGCAATTTATTGTATGTATCCTGCAAGAGATATTGATGACACCCGCCTTCGTCAAGTGGTGGAAGAATGTGCGACTACTTTGGAACCTGAGGAGGTGACATCCCAAAATATGAATGTCGTGGAGGAATGCGCTGGTGCTCCTCAGTCTGGGGAAGCAGCAAGCCAAATTTCGAATTTGGAGATTGAGTTCCATCGCATCTCGCCACTTTTAGATGCTGTTTCTGAAGCAAGTCCAATGGTTGGCACCCCAGTGCATTCAGACTTTAATATCTCGACGGCAATGTTGTTGGCTGCAACCGAGTTACTCGGCCCAGAGTTTTTTGAGAACTAAAGTTTATGAAATTCCCACTTGAAATAACATTGTAAAATATTATGTAAGATACTCGGTCATGTGTATAGCTTAGCTTATAAACACCTGTAGTAGGTAATGTACAATGGGCTTCCAAACTTTTGTAATAATAAACACGCTGCTTTTATTGCTAGCTATCTTTCACCCTACCATGGTTTTTATTTAGGGAACAAATCCACTGGGGTGTTTATTTAAAATATAGCAAGGGTATACCATATTTATGGAGTAAAGTATCTCCTTAGATGCATTGTGTTCCAAGTCCTTGACATGTCTTGACCATCAGGGAGTGATAGTTTTACAGTATTTGGTCCGACCACTTTACGCACTTTGTAAGGACCCTCCCACTGGGGGGTGAACTTTCCTTGACTTGGAATGTGTTTGAAGTTTCTCCTCAGAACCCACTCCCCTTCCCTGATGGGTCGATTTCTCACCTTGGCGTTGTAGTAACGCGCGATCCTCTCTTTGGAAGCGGCGAGTCGCAAAAGTGCTTCCTCTCGACGCTCCTCGATGAGATGTAGATCATGAGTGAGCTCGATTTGATTTTCATCAGGGTGGAATGCTTGGATTCTGTAAGAGGAGAGCTCCATTTCAATTGGCAGCACAGCATCGGTGCCATAAGTCAAGGCATATGGTGTCTCCCCAGTGGAAGTCTTGTAAGTTGTCCGGTGGGCCCAAAGCACATGGGGCAGCTCCTCGACCCATCGACCCTTGGCCTGGCCTAATCTGGTTTTTAGGCCCCATAGGATGCTTTTGTTAGCAGCCTCAGCCTGACCGTTAGCTTGAGGATAGGCCACCGAGGCATATCGAAGTAAGATTCCATATTGGGCGCAGTAGGCCTGTAAATCTTCGCTTGTGAATGGTGTCCCTTGATCCATGATTAGAGTATGAAGGAGACCGAACCTGCATAAGATGTTTAGCCATAAAAACTTTTCAACTTTCTAAGTGGATAGGCTAGCGATCGCCTCAGCCTCAATCCACTTGGTAAAATAATCAAAGGCTACGATCAACCATTTCTTTCGTCCGGGAGCCATGGGTGAGGTTCCCAAAAAGTCCATCCCCCATTGAGCGAATGGCCATGGCCCGATGTTAACCTGCATTTTTGATGGAGGTGCATGAGTGGTTTGCGCGGCCACCTGACATTTGGGGCATGCTTGAGCATACTTTTGAGTGTCCCGCCGCATCGTGGGCCAGTAGTAACCTTGTCATAGAAGGGTTTTTTCCAAGCTACGAGGACCAGCGTGCATCCCACATGATCCTTCATGTACCTCCTGTACGGCAAAGTGTGCTTCGCCAATGCTAAGGCATCGCAAGTGGGGTCCAGTGAAGCCTTTCTTGTATAAATCTCCCTCGATCAGGAGGTAACGAGGAGCACGTCTCTTAAGGCGGATGGCTTCCTTCTGGTCAGCGGGCAGGAGCCCATGTTTTAGATACTCGATGAGAGGTGTTCGCCAATCGGATTGTGCTGGAAATGAGGTAACTTGGGCGCATAACATTGTTGGACGCCTTTCAATGATCACATATCTCTCGCTGAGGAAGTCTTGTGCTGTTGCAAGTTTTGATAATGCGTCTGCATGAAGATTATCCTCACGAGATATGTGGACTATCTCCGCTCGAGGAAACTCAGAGAGTGCCATACGAGCGGCATTGGTGTATGGTACGAGCGTGGGCTCTCGTACCTCGTATGCCCCCTGCACTTGATTGACAACTAGGGCAGAGTCGGAGTGGACCCTAATTCGTTGAATGCCCAATTCTTGAGCCATAATTAGTCCCGCTAGGAGGGCTTCATACTCGGTAGCATTGTTCGTCATGGTGCTGGCAAAGCGAATTGCCAATTCATGAGTGACTCCGAGAGGGCTGATGAGCAAAACCCCTGCTCCTGATCCAGTTTTACTAGATGCACCATCAACGTACAATCTCCAAGTCTCTGTTTCTGGTGGGATACATGCTCGAACACCTTCTGCAACAAAGTCAGCTAAAACCTGGGACTTGATGGCGGTGCGAGGGAGGAAAGTGATATCGTATTCACTAAGCTCGATGGCCCAGTTCACCATTCTACCAGCAACATCCATCCGCTGAAGTAGACGACGTAAAGGAAGTTGAGAGAGTATACATATGGGGTGGCTTTGGAAGTACGGACGCAGCTTTCGAGTGGCAACCACCACAGCTAGGGCGGCTTTCTCCACAGGAGAGTATCTTGTTTCAGCATCTAACAGGGTCTTACAAGTGTAGTAAATAGGATGCTCTGTATGGTCTGTATCTCGGCGAACGAGTACAGCACTCACAGCCTTGGAGGAGACAGCAAAGTACATGTACAATGTCTCGTTGTTGACGGGAGATGAGAGTATTGGGGGATTCACCAAGTACTCCTTAAGTTCTGTGAAAGCTTTCTCACATTCAGGAGTCCACTGAAAAGTTTTTCCAGCTCCTTTTAGGGTGTTGAAGAAAGGGGCACACCGATCCCCAGCTCGTGAAATGAATCGATTGAGTGCCGCAATCCTTCCTGTTAGAACCTGTACTTCTTTATGCTTTGTAGGTGATGTCATCTGGAGAATCGCTTCAATTTGCCTGGGGTTAACCTCGATTCCACGTCTTGTCACCATGAATCCAAGAAACTTCCCTGCGGTGGCCCCGAAGACGCACTTTTTTGGATTAAGGCGTAAGTTGTATCCTCGTAGGGTATCAAAAGTCTCGCGTAGATCTTCTAAATGTGCATGTGTCTCTGCACTTTTGATTAGGATGTCATCCACATAGGCTTCAACATTTCGACCTAGTTGTCGGGCAAAGACTCGATCCACCATACGTTGATAGGTAGCTCCGGCATTTTTGAGGCCGAACGGCATCACCTTGTAGCAATAATTTCCTACCGGAGTCATGAAGGCAGTATATTTTTGGTCGTCCTTCTTTAGTGGGATCTGGTGGTACCCTGAGAACATATCAAGAAAAGAGAGATGGCGATGACCGGCGGTCGCATCAATAAGCAGATCAATCTTGGGCAAAGGATACGGGTCCTTCGGGCAAGCCTTGTTGAGATCGGTGAAGTCAACACACATTCTCCACTGGCCGTTGGCCTTTTTAACCATGACCACATTAGCCAAACATGTTGGGTAGAGAACCTCGCTAATGAAGCCGGCTTGCCCTAGCTTGATTACCTCCTCTGCTATGGCCTGGCGACGTTCCCATGCAAAATTCCTTCGTTTTTGTTGGATGGGCTTGCTACCTGGGATTATCCCTAGTGTATGCTCGGCAACTTTTGAATCAAGACCAGGCATATCCTCAGGTCCTTGAGCAAAGAGCTCTTTGTACTCGATCATCAAACTAAGAAGTTGTGGGAGATAATTTTTAGGCCATGCCATGGATACACGAACGGTTCGCCCTTCTTCTAATGTATGTTCTTCATCAGGGTCAACGGGAACGGGACGAGCGACCTCGTCTTTGGCTTCCATCGTGGCCACAAAGCCATCTTTAAGGGAGAACTCACAACACTGTCGTGCAAGAGCTTGATCTCCCTTCACACACCCGACTCCGGCAATAGTTGGGAACTTCAATTTTAAGTGCAGAGTTGAGGGTATAGCCCGAACTTGATGTAGAAAAGGGCGCCCGAGAATGCAGTTGTACGCGGAAGGGCAGTCAATAACATGGAAGTTGATTGTGTTCTCTACGGTTTGTTGGTTATTGCCAATACGAACTTGGAGTGGGAGAATCCCCAGAACTGGGACTTGATTTCCGGAGAACCCCATGAGGTAAATGCTAGGAGGGTGACATTTGTTTAGTTGAAGACCCATGGACTTGAAAGCTGGGTAGAATAAAAGATCTGCAGAGCTTCCTCCATCGATGAGGACTCGTTGCATAGAATAGTTTGCAATTACTGCCTTAATGACTAAGGCATCATCATGAGGATACTCGATATCTTCAAGATCCCTATCGTCGAAAGATATGGGAATTTGTGTGGTAGAAGCGGAACCGACCAACCTTAGGGCACCGGTTGAACGAGAATCAACTTGTTCGGATAATTTGACCCCACCATGAATGACAGGAACATTTCCCAACACCGATCCACTTCCCTGTGGTGCTTTTCCTTTGTCTATTATTGGAGGTGAAGGGAGAATAGGGGGACGAATATTCTTTACGAAGTCTCGAAGATAGCCTCGTTGGATAAGTCTTTCAATAGAGTGCTTGAGGGTGTAACAGCTTTCTGTATCATGTCCCGTACATCGGTGAAATTCGCAGTAGAATTGTTGGCCCTTTCCTGAAACCCTCATAACTGGAGGAGGTTGAGTAATGGGAATTTTCTTCTCTCGAATGATCTGAAGAATGGCTTGTCTAGAGCGATTGAGAGGAGTATAGCTTTGTTGTAACTGGGTATCTTCCCTTCTGGAATTTTGGGAAGAGTTTCGGCCCTCGGCTGCAGGAGCTTGACGTTGTCGGCGGGAATCTTGGGATGAAGTCTCTTGTTTTCTTTTGGATCCTGCCCGACTAACCTCCTGAAGTGCTTCTTCTAGATCAATATATTTTGAAACTCGCTCTTGAAGCTCCATAGTGCTGTGGGGAGCCCGTTTTGCAAGAGAAGCATATAAATCAGTGTTGATAGTCCCTCGCATCAGGGCATTGGTGGCGATCTCAGTGGAAATGGACGTTAGTCCGATGGCGATGTTACTATATCGAGTATAGTAAGCCTTGAGTGTCTCATCATCACGCTGCCTGATGCTGAGGAGTTGATGGACGCTGATAGGTTGTTTTTTTTGTGCGTAGAATTTGCATCTAAAGAGAGTGGCAAATTCGAAGAAACTGGAGATAATACCATCTTGTAACTTTGAGTACCATCGTCGGGCATCTCCACGGAGTGTTGCTGGGAAGATTTTTCACATTGTTGCATCAGATGCTCCGATTAATGGCATTAGGATTTGAAAAGAGCAAAGGTGGTCTTCTGGATCTGTGGTGCCATAATATTCTGGCAAGCTTGGTAAATGAAGATTTGATGGGTAGGGCTCATCCTGCACGATTCTGGATAGAGGTCCTCCTATTCCGGTTGAAGTGACAACTCCGTGTCCTGGGGAAGGTTCGAGCAGATTGGCTGAGA